GGCGTGGGCGTGGCGGGGGCTCTGTGGGTGTCTGTGAGATGAAACTGGCTCCTTTAAGCCATGGGGAAGTGACAGCCAGGCTCCCTGACCCCACAGAGTGCAGGACCGTCTTTGTGCACGGCCTGCTTTTCCTTCTTTTGACTGTCCCCAGAAGAGATTCCCAGGGTCGGTCGCTGCGCTAGGATGGGACCCCTCTGGGCCCCGCGAGGCTGTGCCGGGCACCTTCTTGCGTGCTCCGGCCACCGCGGTGCGCAGTGCAGGCGAGCAGCCCCTTAGCCCCCAGGCCCTGTCCTCATCCGACGGCCACTCCTCCTGGGGTCGTGTGGCATTTCCTGCTTCCTCGTCCACCTGCCTGGGACCCAGCTCAGACCTCTGGCTGGTCCAGCAAACACCCATCCCTGTTTCTCCTCTGCTTGGTGCACAGACGTGTCGGCACCTGCTTGCCGGAGCGCGTCTCCCCGACCGCGAGCTGTCCTGCCCGTCACGGGTGGCCCCTCTCCCCCGTGAGCACGTACCCGTGTCTCTCCCCAGTATGTGTTATCACAGCCGGCCGGGGCCAGCACGGGCGTCACCGTCCTGTGCGTGGGAAGGACTGTGAACAGGGCCGGGGGGTTGCGGGCAAGTGGCGCTCCCTGGCCTCCGGGCTCAGGTCACGCTGGCCCCAGCCCTGCCTGGCAACGTGTTCCTCTGCTGCACGGGGGCCGCGTCCCAGACCTTATCAGGGGCGCAGACCTGCCCAGCCGGCGAGAAGGTGCCGGGATGGGCCCCAATCTCCGGTGGTCAGCGGCGTGTGGGGAGGGTGGGTGATCGGGGATGGGGACCCGGGGCAGGGCAGCCCTGCTGGGAGCAGCTGCGTGAACCCCGCCTGCTTGTCCTGTGACCTCGGCAGGGGGCCTCTCCTGCCTGCGTCCTCATCACGGCAACTTCCTCCTGGTGCTTGCAGAGAACGAGATTAGCTGGTACCCAGCAAAGCCCTGGAGGAAGCTCTGGGTGGACCTGGACTCCAGACAGCGGGTGCTGGCCAGGGTCGGGTTCTGCACCACTCGGGACCCTTGTCCCAAGACAGCCCCGGAGGATGTGGCACAGCCCGGCTGGACCCTCCTCTGGTCCTTAAGCCCCTGGGGTTGCAGGTGGGACACGCCGGCCACCGTCTTCGGTCCTCCCCGAGCGAGGCCAGGCTCGCGCAGGCCCTAGGATGGGAATCCACGCCGCACTTGCCGGACGCCGGACACCTCACTTCCTGCCGGGTCCTCTGTGCCGTCCACTTCTTGTCTGGGCACAGACACCAGGCCCCTCTTCCTGGGCCCCAGCTAGGCGGGCAAACCCCATCTCCTGGGGTTCAGGGTCCCTCTCGGACTGTCAACTCCTAGAAGGCCGGTCCCTCCCTCCCTGCCCCGGAGGGCAAGGCAAGGGCTGGAGACCAGGCGTTCCTGGGTGGTCACGGGCAGCTTGGTCTGGGGCTGGGGGCCCAGAGGGGAGGAGACGCCGGCCCGAGGGTGGCTGTGGCAGATGCAGGGTGATTGCAGCTCCCAGAGCACGGCCGGCTCCCGGGGCCGGACAGGCTGCGTCACATTCCAGAGGGTGGCAGACCTTCCGGCCACCGGGAGGCCGTCTGGGAAGTCATGTGTCCACTTGTTGCTCCGTGGGTGTCGCAGTCGAGCCTGCGTGGGCTGGGCCCTGCACGGGGCGGGGGCTTTGAGATGAAGTGGCCGTTCGGTCACGCCTTGGAGGGCAGGGCTGCCCGGTCCAGGTGGCCCCAGGAGCTTGTGCCTTCGTTGGCCAGAGTGGGACTGGTCCGCATGGCTGTGCCGCGGGCACCGAGTTCCCGGCAGGGCTGGTGTACCTGTGCCGGCAGCTGTCCCTCATCTGGGGGCTCCTCGCACCCCTCCTAACCTCGTGAGATGAGCGCCTGCCCTGCTCGCCCTGCTCGGGTCCCTCTCAGCGTGACCTGCCAGGGGACAGGGTGGGCGAACCTTGCAAAACCCAACTTGGTGTGCGGTGGGTGCAGGCTGCAGACAAGGTGACCCAAGGCCCAGGGCCATGGAGGGCAGGATGCCCGGCCAGAGTTTGCTGCCGTGATGAAGGAGCCCTTCGCTGAGGCCCTCGGGGCACCTCCCTGGCCTCCCAGCTGTGGCCGAGGTCCTCGTGCTCAGTGACCTCAGCAGCGGCTGGGACGCCCTGCAGCGGAGGCGGGCGGAGCTGTGGGCGCCAAGCGGGTGACTCTACGGGCTGCCGGCGGGAGAATCCTGCGCAGCCCAGGTCCGTGGTCTGGCCGAGGGGGACGGGAGTGGTCCAGGCAGGCACGTGCCCTGTCCATGGCACAGACCCCTGGCCTGGGCTGGGGGGCCCTGCCCTAACGGTCACCTCTCCTGGCAGACTGAAGTCCGGGAGCCGGCCCCGGGGAGGACGCCTGGCCCAGCATCCTGGGGACCGTCCGCAGCCTCGGCTGGGACACTGCTGGGGCAGCTCACGGCGCCAGGCCGGGGGTTGGGCAATGCTGATGGAAGGGACAGACCCAAGCCATCTGTGGCCTTGCCGGCCACGGCCCGTGGCAGGCCCTGGAGCCTGCACTAGGTGAGCCACGGGACCCACTGTGTCCTCCCGAGGCAGCTGCCGCTGCCAGCCCCATCCCACGGACAGACAGCCGCAGGCTCCAAGGGGCCCGGCAAGTCCCCAAATCCAAAATCATCCGAAACTGGGAACAGTTCTGGTCCCGAGCGTTTGGATAAGGGCCCTCAACCCGCGTGGTAAGAGTTCATGCCGGGGCTGCTAACGTGCCGGTAGCTTCCCGTGGGGAATCTCAGCAGCCCTCAAAGTATCGGTAACTAGGGTGGTGCCCCCACTTTACAGATGAGGAAGTTGAGGCCCGGCGAGGCCGTGTAGCTTACGCAGAAAGAGCCAGGCCTCCAGCCAAGGCACCCTGGTTCCAAAGCCCGTCCACTGTGACAGCTGTCCCCGCCCCCGGCGGACGGGCCCAGGCCTTGAGGGAGTGGGGCCGTGGCTGAGGTTTGGGGGTGGCAGAGCGGAGCCAGCGTGCCCCTCGCTGCCGGGAAGCCTCCATCGATCCCTGGCCTCTCCCGGGCAGGGACAGGGGAGTGGCCCAGATGGAGGCGCCTACCCTTGGGTCGGGCAGGCGGGGAGGGGCTGACTCCTGCCACTGCGACCGAGGGTGTCTGCCATGGCCCCTGGGGCCCCCCGGGGATGTCCGCGGCTTGCTTTGCCGTCAGGAATTAGATTAGTTTTCCATAAAAACAGGATGTGAGGGTGAGAGGGCAGCGCGCGGGTCTTTTTTTCTCTTCTTTTTCCAGGAACTGAACATACAGCCTTTGGCCAGGGCTGTCCCTGTCCCCACCCTGCCTGCCCCAGTGCGGGGAACGGCGGCTCTCTGCTCTTAAGTGGCTACTTAATCTGCTTCTGCCCCGGCCCGAGAGCTTATTGCGTCACCCGGAGCCAGCCTGCCGCTGCGGGGACGGCCCTGGGGACGCGCCTGCCCGTGGTCCCCCGCCAGGCCGGGCTGGGGGGCCTTGAAAACCCCACAGTGCCGGCGCCACGCCGGGCCGGGCAGGAGGGGCCTGCGAACCGCGTGGGGTGGCCCTGGTCCCTCTGCCCGGAACACGCCCGTGATGGCTCACAGCCTCAGGGCCCGGGGTCCCCTTTTCAAGCCCCGCTCTACGGGGTCTGCTGCATCGCGGGTCTGGGGGGCGGCTGAGGGCAGCGATGCCGACCAAGCGCGCCTGTCGGGCTCGGGGCGGCGTGTTCGTGTTCGCGTCACGTGGCCGCCTTAGTGCGGCTGTCCGCCGGCCGTTGGGGGAGGCGTGGGGGTTGTGCCGGGAGTGGGGGTTGCCCTGCAGTTGGGGAGCCCGTCCCGGCCCCTCACCTCCCTCCTGACCCGGGTCCCAAGCACAGCTGCAGCTTCCTGGCCGCCGGGCTGCTGGGGGTGCTGCGGCCAAGGCCCGGCTCTGTCCTCCTGGCTCGTGACCTGTGGGGACCTTTGCTCCTCCGTGGCCAGGACAGTGGCGCCATGGCAGTGGCCTCCTAGGTGGCTGAGGGTGACACAGGCCCAGTGGCCGAGAGCGGAGGGCAGCCTGCCGCGACGGCTCCGAGGGGCGGGGGGAGCAGAGCAGGGGTTCCCACCCGGCCACGCAGCGGCCGAGGGGACGTTCGGAAACTGAGGAGGGAATGCGGCTGCCGGCGCAGGAGGGCGGGAGGCCTCCTTCCCTCCGGTCTCGGCCAGGGGGCTCTGCGGCTGCTCTCGTGGTTCTGGCCCCAAGCAGGCCGTCGCCAGCCCCAGACTGCCCTTAGAGGGGACCCCGGATGGAATTCCAGAGCCGGGAAACGGCTCTTTCCTGGAAGGATATCCGGAAAATCACGCGTCTTTTCTTCTTGGGGGGCGGTGAGCACGGAACCTCGAGCCCGATCAGAGAAGTTAGTTTGGGGGGACGCGGCTCAGCAGGAGGAATGGGTGGGAGCTCTTGGCTGTGAGGCCCTGGACTGGGGGTTGTTTGCTTTCCGTGTTTCTTTGCATTTTAAAAGCTTCTGGCCGGGTGCAGTGGCTCACGCCTGTCATCCTGGCTATGTAGGAGGATCACTTGAGCCCAGCCTGGGCAACGTAGCAAGACCCACTTCTAAAAAAACAAAACAAATAACTTTTGAAAATGGAGAAAAGAAAGTGACTGTCTTGAGCTGGTCGGTGACTTTCCCGGGGAAGCTGAGGCCCAGGGCTCTGGCCTAGGGTGGCCCCTGCCCTCGGGCCGCGGTGTTCAGTGCGGCTCTGGCTGGGACCCTGTTCCAGGCCTGGTTTTCCGGGGGTGGAACCGGGCTGAGCCGCCCGGCTGGATGTTGTGAGCTGAGAGTGTTGATTTTTCCCTTGGTCACTTCAGGAGCTGGTTGAATTCCCAGAGTCTGCGTGGGGCCGGCACCGCCCGCCCCTGTGACCGCAGCTGCTCCGAGCTGAGTCCCACGCAGCCTGCCCCGGGCGCCCCGTCCAGCCTGGCATTTGCCGTGTGTTCATGTCTCTGTTTACCTCTGTGCAGAGGGAAATAGACGTTTATGTTAAGGGGACAAGCGGCGCGACCGTGGGAGTGTGGGGAACCCAGGGAGGCGCTGACGAGTCCTGCAGTCTGGGGCCTCCTCCTTCCCCGGCATCCTTGGACTTCACGCCTAAGGCCTCCAACTGGTCGGACAAGCCCACCCGCATTCCAGAGGGTGAAGTGTTTCACTCCCAGTCTGCAGATTTGAGTGTTTTTGTGGTGGGGGAGGGGACAGGGTCTTGCTGTGTCGCCCAGGCTGGAGTGCCGTGGTGCGATCCCAGCTCGCTCACCCTCCAACTCCTGGGCTCAAGCCATCCTTCCGCCTCGGCCTCCCAAAGTGCTGGGATTACAGGCGTGAGCCACCGCGCCCGGCCTTCGTGTAAATCCTGTCTGAAAACCACCTTCACACCGACGTCGTGATTGGTGTTTAACTAAAACCACAGCCCAGCCACGCTGACATGGAATCCACCCTCACGCCCCGCCCGAAGGCTGTCACCAAAGCACCCACACTGCCCACTCTAAAAACACAAACCCTGTGCTGACGCGCTTGTGACGTCTCCTCCGGTCCCAGCTCCGAGCTTTCGGGCAGGTCCTTGGACCTCAGCGCCCTTCTCTGAAATGCAGATGGCTCGTTGGGTTCTCTCGGGGCGGCGTTGCCACCCGGCTCTGGCACCGGCTCCACGAGGTGCTGGCTTGGTCACGCCCGCGGGCAGTGCTTCTGGGGCGGCCATCCCTGGGGGACAAGGTGGTCCTGGTGCAGGTGCCCCAATATTGTCACCATTTCACTAAAGGGGAACCCAAGGCATGGGGGGTGGGGGGACCGAGCTAGGACCAGACACGGTCTCCTGCTGAAATACGCGGAGATGACCTAGTGACCTTCGTAGATGTCTCTGAGCTGCCCTCCCTCCCCCGCCAGCCCAGTGACCTCAACCTGGGCAGGGCCCCCACCCCTCCCCCACCTGACCCGGCTGCCTCCCCAGGGCCCTGCCCCCGCCCCGCCCACCGGCAGCCGTGGCCAGGTCACATTCCTCCGCAGGTGCCAGGGAGGCCCCCAGAGAGCCGCGGGTCTGGGACGCAGGGCAGGGTGGACGGGCTGAGAGGCGCAGGCTGCTGCCAGCGGCTGAATCACGGGGTGGGGCCGAGGCAGCGCCTGGCCTGGTGTCCCGCACCCAGAGCCCCCGAGACGTGGGCAGCGGATCCTCCCGGGCCGGCACCTGCGTCTGTACAGGCGGCCCTGGCCCTGGGGGCAGCTGCCGGAGGGTTTTCAGCAGCCAGAGCTCTTAGGAGGCCCCTGGTGGACCCCAGTGTCCGTCCCCGTGGGGGAGGCAGGACCTGGATGAGACAGGACCCCCAGAGAGCCCGGGGACAGCTGTCCAACCTCCGTGTCCCGCGAGCAGAGTCGGTGCTTAGGGAGGTCACGGGTTGCCCCGCTCGGGCACGAAGTCGAGCAGCGGAGGCAGGTCGCGGGCACGGAGGATTTGGTGGGTGGTCGTGTGGCCGGCTCCTTCTGCGTCAGAGAAATGGCTCCGTTTCCTCCTGGGTCTCTAGGCAGTCGCTGGAGGGGACGGCGGCTTCTCCCTGGGAGTGCTCAGGGCCACCCGTCCCCGGCGGGCTCACGGTGGGTCCTCAGCTCCGCGGGGCGGGCCGTGCTATCCAAGCGCAGTCAGGGGCACAGCGGGGAACGGTTGCCGCCTGCTCGCGGGGGGCCTTGAGGGGACCCAGTCTGCCGTGATGACGCCGCTCGCCCTGCCCTGGGTGGCACGCCGCCCCC